TACTGGCCTATTTGAAAATATCAGTACATTTATTTAAGTTGGTTTTATATTCATTATCTTTTACAGTAAATGCTAATGCCTTAAATCCATTTTTTCCGATTAGTGGTTCTCAATGTTTCTCCCCAGAGACATTGCCAATGTCTAGATACCATTTTGGTCATCACAGTTGAGGGTGAGGGAAGGTGCTACTGTTGGGCAGAGGTCAGGGAGTTTCTGAACATCCTGCAATGCATGGGGAAACCCCCTCTGGAAGAGAATCACTGGGTCTCAACTGTCAATAATGCTGAGGTTGGGAAACACTGTGTTAGATAATGATAGTAAGACACCTGTAAAACATAAATGTAAACCACACGGGAAATGGAAGCCAAGCTCGAACAGAGGATGTAGGTGGTGATGTTTAGTCGGAGTAAACAGGGACTGGCTGTTGAAATCCTCCACCTTTGTCTGTGTTTCCTCATAACAGGCTTGTTGACCCTAAGAAAGATGAAACGAGTTCCACACAATGTGTTTAGAATAGTATCTGGTTCCTGGTAAGAATACTGCTCCCTAAGGGTTTGGCTGTGGTCACCGTTACATGTACCGCCAAATAAAGCACTGATGGAAAGAAGTGATAAACATGTGAATACCTCTGGGCTGAACTGCTGAAGAAGTATTTTCATTCAAGACCTGCCCCAAACATTAACAAAGTTGGCCTTCTCTTAATTCCTCTTCCCACCCCGCTGTGCCAATCAAGCAGGTTCTTAGGTGAACCAATCCCTCATTTCATCAGTTAATAAAATTAAACGCAATAACTGAATGGCTATCATAAGTATATTGATGTTTAAAACAAACTTTTGATCTTTGGTTGGCTGGCAAGACAAGTCAAATACATGATATATTAGGCCATTTCACATTGCTGATAAAGACATATGTGAGACTGGGTAATTTATAAAGAAAAAGAGGTTTAATGGACTCACATTTCCACATGGTGGCTGGGGAGGCCTCACAATCATGGTGGAAGGTGAAAGGCATGTCTTACATGGCAGCAGGCCAGAGAGAATGAGACTCAAGTGAAAGGGGTAACCCCTTATAAATACGTTAGATCTCGTGAGACTTATTCACTATCATGAGAACACTATGGGGGAAAACCGCCCCCATGATTCAGTTATCTCCTACTAGGTCTCTCCCACAACATGTGGGAATTACAGGAGCCACAATTCAAGATAAGATTTGGGGACACAGCCAAACCATATCACATGAGAAGAAAATCAACCTCAAATCTATTTAAATACTTTTATTTTTTTTTTTTGAGACAGAATCTCACTCTTGTTGCGCAGGCTGCAGTGCAATGGTGCAATCTCGGCTCACTGCAACCTCCACCTCCCGGGTTCAAGTGATTCTCCTACCTCAGCCCCCTGAGTAGCTGGGATTATAGGCATGCACTGCCATGCCTAGCTATTTTTTTTTTTTTTGCATTTTTAGTTGAGACGGGGGTTTCACCATGTTGGCCAGGCTGTTCTCGAACTTCTGACCTCAGATGATCCACCCACCTCAGCCTTCCAAAGTGTTGGGATTACAGGCACGAACCACCACGCCCGGCCTCAGATAATATTTTTAACATGTACTAAGAACATCTGTATATTCCAAACACTGTGCTATAGTTTGAGTAAAGAAAGATAAAAAGACACAGGCCCCTTTTATAATAACTTAATTCAAAGACTTCTCAGTCTAGTGTGGGAAATCTATTTTTATATTAAATAATTATATTACAGGCTCTGTATGTGAGGTTCAGAGGCAGCTCCATGGAAGAAGGGATTAACCCTAAGGTAGGTCTGAGAAGCTTTCAGGAAGGAAGTAATGTGGTGACAGACGTTTGAAGGATGAGTAAGAATTCATGGATGTTCTAGACAGCGTGGGACTTTCTGGGAAGTTCAAACACTTGGGTGTTGCTGAACCAAATAGAGCAGGAGTCAGACCTTAGCTGCCCCTGAAGGCCAGACTCTGGGGCATAGAACTTATTCTGGAAGTCCAGAATCACTCCTGAAGGATCTTAAGAGGAAGAGGATGGGATCAAAGTTGCATTTTTTTTTTTTTTTTTGAGACGGAGTCTCGCTCTGTCGCCCAGGCTGGATTGCAGTGGCCGGATCTCAGCTCACTGCAAGCTCCACCTCCCGGGTTCACGCCATTCTCCTGCCTCAGCCTCCCGAGTAGCTGGGACTACAGGTGCCCACCACCACGCCCAGCTAATTTTTTGTATTATTTTTTAGTAGAGACTGGGTTTCACCGTGTTAGCCAGGATGGCCTTGATCTCCTGACCTCGAGATCCGCCCATCTCGGCCTCCCAAAGCGCTGGGATTATAGGCTTGAGCCACCGCGCCCGGCCCAAAGTTGCATTTTTAAAAGGTCCACAGGATGTATACAGAAGAGTATTAAAGGGGACAAAACTAGAATTGGAGAGGTCAGATAAGAAATTATTTCAGATCAGAAGCAGGATGGTCCTGGGTCAATGTGTGGCTAGATAAGAAAGTATAACTAATAAACATGGTACCCAGACACCTGTTTCTTCAACTCATTTCAGTATTGAAAAAGATCATAAAAACAGCTCACACCTACATAGCCCTTTCTGGGTCTGAGGCAGGGTTCTAAGTTTCAATCCATTTGCATCCACATGTGTTAATCCATTTAATCTTCACAACAAAGCTATGAGGTCCATTTTATTATTATCCTTGTTTTAGAGAAACGGGAACTGAGATGTAATTAGGTCATGCTGCATCTTTAAGGACAACAGGAAGACAGCAGCAAAGCCAAGGTTCCAGGCCTAGCAAATTGTTTCCTCTGTGTCCTTCTATTTGCGAGAAGTGAAGGTTCTCCCTCTTGGGGTCTGTTCTTCCGGAATTGTCCTCAATCTGCCGGGGTTTGCACACAGTCCAGTCCCCAGGGAGGCTGCTCAGACTTTCTCTCTGATATGTAGAGCTGTGGAGTCTGATTAGCATTTTAGGACAGTTGCTTCTTGCTACCACAGGATGTCACCATTGAAAACCTGCCTTCTGCAGGAAGAAATGCTGGCCTACTTGGCTGTGATCCCTTGCTCACCCTGAAGGGGCTCAAGCCCCTGTGGTCCCTATGAGGGAGGACAACCTCACACCACACCCTTGAACCCCACTCAGCCAAAGCATCTCAGGGGAGCTCCCCAGACTGTACCTCTCAGCACTCAATTCTTTCCACTGGGCTCACCTTCCACCTGCACCAGAACTAGGGCCTGGATTTGGCTTGTATCCGTCTCAGAAGCAATGTCCATCTGTCCTGTTCATAAGTGCTCATCCCAAAACATCATCCCGAAACACCGTTTCTCTTGACAGACACATCATCACTCATGACCCCTTTTTGAAGAAGGTTTTAAAAAATCTCTCAGGGAGCCCCTGCTATAGATGACTCTGAGAGCTATTTACATGGTGGAATTGGCAGAAGTTGGCAATTAATTCGGTTGAGGGAGATGAGAGGAGTCCAGAGAATGGGAGAGAGGGAGAGACTAGGAAGCCTAGGACGATGTTAGGTTTCTGGTTTCTGTGATTTGACGGGCAGTGGGACATTTTCTTGGTGGGAGATAACAGTGGAGGGCTATTGCTGCTTTTGAGTCACTTCCACCAAGGCCCAACCTGGGCAGTAGTAGAGGCTTTCCCTTCCAGACCTCCCCCAGCCCCCAGCTGTTCAGGGCCTTACCTTGCACAAGGCCCATTCATTAAGAGGGTAGTGGGTAAGGGGATCTCGGAGCCAACAGTGCATCACTCCAGCTGATTGATTAATGTCATGCTGGGCAGTCCATGAGCAGAGTTTGAAGAATACTTTGCAATCATAATTCATAATACTATTTTACCACATGGGGAACAAGGATTGGGGGCATCTCTTGGGACATATCTCACTGGCACATGTTGCATGTTGCCTTTGAGGTTATTTCAAGATTCACTGAGATTCTAGTCACAGATTATATATACAGATTATGTATATGTGCATATATATACACACACACACGTACATATGTGTGTGTTTATATATATGCACATACACACTCATATATGTGTGCAATTTCTTTTTGGCTTAAACATCAAAATGTTTTATAAAAGTGTATGTTGAGATCAAGTGCAGTGGCTCCCACCTCTAATCCCAGCACTCTGCAAGTCTGAGGCAGGAGGATCATTTGAGCCCAGGAGTTTGAGACTAGCCTGGGCACCATAGCCAGACCCCATCTCTACAAAAAATAAAAACCTTACCCAGGCATGGTAGCCCTACCTACTTGGAGGGGCTGAGGTGGGAAGATCACTTGTGCCCAGGAGTTAAAGCCTACAGTGAGTTAAGATTGTGTCACTGCACTCTAGCCTGGCTAACAAAGTAAGACCCTGTTTCAAAAAACAAACAAACAAAAAATAGTATATGTCAAAATTCTCACTCTCACTCTAACCTCATCAACCTAGTTCTTCCACCCATCTTCACCCTCATAGCTAATAGAAACTTCTCCAAGTTTCTTACATATCCTTCTAGCATATTTTCATGCCAATGCAAGCAATACAAATATGTGTATCTGTCTCCTTGTTTCACAACAGTTGTCTTATTTTAATATGATGTTATTTTATCTATTCTGCACTTTGCTTTTTCACTTAATATATCATGGAGCTGTTTCATCCAGACAATTGAAACACATCCAATACAAGCAAATCCTATGCTCCTGGCATATCTCTACTGCTGGGGACTGGAAAATGCAGAGGAAAATATTGAGTGCTTGCATTGACTTTCAAAAATAAGGTTGCATAAAAATGCAATGTCAATAGCAAAATAAATGCCATATGATTATGATCACATATAAGAGACAAATATTGTAAAAGAAAAGCATCCATTCTCTCTATAGAGAAATACATATTTATTTGCCATTCACCAAACCTTTACTGAGGGTATGCATTGCCCTGGGCTTGCTGGGTGCTGTGAGAAGGACAAGCAGGGTGGATAGCTCAGAGCCTCCATCTGCCCAGGCCCACTATGTCAACAGCCTCCTTAGGACACCCCTTTCTGCAGCCTTAATCCCCACCCTAGCCAGCACCACACACACTTCAACTAAGGTGACCTTCCCATCATTTCTACCCAGCCTTTCCCCTGCTTAAACTGCTTCACTGTCCTCCTCCCCACCACCTTCCCCATTCCCCTCCCATCGTAAGGGTCACATTGTCAAATTCCAACCCCTTCACTTGGATCGCAAGGCCTTTGGTGTGCAGTGCCTGTCCTGTAAACCTCACCAGTCGCCTGCCTCACCTCTCCTTGCCTGCTGCTGCTAGGTTCCAGCTGTTCTGTCCTGACTCCAGGCCTCTGTACGCTGCCCCTCTGTCCTGGAAAGAGCAGTCTTCTCCACCCTTCACCGCCCCACTCATTTGTTCTTATGCCTTTTTTTCAGGTATCTTTCCCCAATTACCTGCCCCAGACCCCAACCTGACTGGGTTAGAGGCTCCTCCTGCTGACTGCAATTGCCTGGTTCCATTCCCTGCTTCCTCCTGGGGTATGAGTTAGTGCAGCCCAGTCTAGTGGGGGACATAGTCATCCTCTAATGCCTGGTTCCATTCCCTGCCTCCTCCTGGGTGGAGTTAGTGCAGCTGAGTCTAGTGGACGGGTCACTGGGCTTCCGAGTCCCAGTCTTGGCTCCTTCTCTAAGGCTGTTTTGTCATCTGCCACAGGCATGCCACAAGAACTTGCCAACACAGTGGTGGTGATAATCAGAGTTCCCAATGCCCCTTAAGAATGCTCAGTAGACAGGAGTTGGCTTAACTCTCCCTGATCTTCCTCTCCCTTCTCCGTGGACAGAATCTCACACGTCTGTGAGCCCCCACGTTCAGCATGAAGTGAGGAGCCCATCGGATGACGGGCCAGCTGGCTGGTTGAAGGCCACTGCTGACTTCGCATTGGAGGTATGGGTTGCTCAGCGCTTTTACCCTTTCTCAGGCATCTACTTGTTGCCTAGGCTTCCCTTCGAAGTTCAACAGCCCCCTCCCGGCCAGTTCTCCGCCGCGCCCCGCCCCCGAGGGTCTGCAGGGACCCTTTTCCTGCCCGAGGCCTGGGGTCTTGGCTCGGGAGGGCAGCCCCGCCGCGGGGACTGAGCATGCTCGCGCCGGTCGGGCTGTGAGGGCCGCACGCGGGCCCGCAGCCTGCGCCCTGGGCACCCGGGCGGCCGGGCGGGAGGGGTTTGGCCGCTGGGCAGCCCGCCCCGGGCTCCCATCAGGGCCTCGCGGCGAAGAGGGACCGAGGTGGGAGCGCGTGAGCCGCGCTGCCAGCCAGTCGCGCAGCGTCTACCCCCGCGGTGCGCGGCGGCTGCGGAGCGGAGCCAGCAGGAGCAGCAGGGCGGGCTCTCCCGGCCGCGAGGGCGCGCGGCGCGGCGCGGAGGTCTGGCCGCGTCCAGGCGGAGGAAGTAGAGGAGCCAGGGCGCCGGAGGTGAGCGCAGCCCAGAGGCGCCAGCCCAGCGGCGCGGGCGCAGCTGCTCGGTCCTTGCTCTCTTGCAGCGCTGGCGGCTGCGTTCCCCCGACCGCGCTGACAGCCTAGCGTCCTGGCGCCCGCTCGCTGGGGCTGCCCGGAGGCCGCGGCCGGGCAGCTGTTGCACCGAGAGGGGGCAGCTGCGGAGTTCCATAACCATAGCAACCGCATCAGCACCGGCGGCGGCGGGCGAGGGCAGCATCCGCTCGCTCCTCCTCCAGGCAGCCTCGCCGCGGGGACCCGACACCAGCTCGCAGGTGCCGCGGACTTCCCAGTCCGCCCGCCGCCGCAAGTGTTGGCGGCCAGAGACGGCGAAAGAGGAGAGAGAGGGACCCAGGAGCGCGGCCCCCGGGGGAGAGAGAGGGGAGCCCTGCAGTGGAGACAGGTAGGTGAGAGCGCTCTGGGGTCGGCAGCTGCAAAACTCTCTCGTCGGTGGCAGTGACGCTTCTGCAAGCGTGGTTGCCAGTTGGATGGCTTTCTGTCACGGAACAGCGATTCCGCCGCAAAATGTGGTTTATCTCCCTCGATTTTCCCCAGTCTCTCTGCCCTCCAGGTTTGCTGCACAGCTGGGCAGGTCTTGAGGGGATAAGAAGGGCCAGGGCTGTGAGAGAAGCGGAGAGGCTGGGTTAATGAGGGGGTCCCCCCAGGAGTTCCAGATGGAGGCTGAGGGGACGCCTGCAGACCTTGGCCATTGGGGTCCTTGGAGCCAGGGAACCCGGGGGCCAGGCTCAGGAGAAGACCGCACTGGGATGGAGGGGACAGTGGCAGCGATTCTCTGTGATCCAGGCGAATGCACAGACCCGTTCTTCCTGTGGCTTGGCTGGGGACAGGGGTGTGCGGGGACACTGCAGCTCAGCTATGACATGGAAAGGGACCAGCTCTTGATCTGTAGAGCCACCTTCAAACCCAATCACTGGAAGGGATGTTTAGACGAGGCAAGTAGTAACTGTTATTATTTTGGGACACAGGACTATCATGTCATTGTCGTTGACTATTAGGGATAGGAGGGGAATAGAAATTTTGAGCTAGCAGACAAGACGGTGCTCTCCCCTTCTCCCCGCCTCATTTCTAGCTCCCCACCCCACTTTGCCAGCAAAACAAGAACCACATCGCACATAGTGACATTCCTTGCTGCTTGGCCACTGGCAAACTACCTCACTTTCAGACAGCTGGAGACACCCGCTTCAGTTGTCCATTTGAACCAGGGGGCATTGTTTTCCATCAGGTTATGGTGCTCTTGATGTTAAGTGATGTGTCAAAGCCGAGAGGCACCTGGGCTGTCCACACAGTGTGATGGACTGTTAACTACATCTGCAGGCTGAAGAGAGGGCCAGAGCTTGGGTAGTGATTTCCCAACTCAGATCAGCTGGGACCAGGGCCCCGGAAGAAGGAAGATAGCATGTGAATAATTAGGGTCTGAAAGTTCGTGCATGTGGGTAAGTAGGTCTCTGAGTAATAACCAGGATAGGCAGCCATTGACTTTGAAAAGGCTCTTGCTTTATATCGTGGCCTCGGGGGACAGTCTAAGTCCCAGTTAAATGGCTATGTTCTTTAATTGGGCTTTTAATTTATGGTGTCATTATGTTACCCAAGGGGATGTGATTTGGCCAATGTCTCATCTGGAGATTTATGTCATAATATGGATGATATTATCAGAGCTTAGGCAGATGGTTAGGTGTAGAGGAAAGTGGACCAGATTTGAGGGTCAGAAAACATGGATTTGAACTCAGATTTCCTCATGCACCTGCTGTGTGACCTTGAGTTGTTCCACCTCACTGAGGCTTCTTTCTCTCATCTGGAGAATGGGGCTACTAACAAGTCTTGCAGTTTATCAGGCTCAATCACAATCCAGTGGGATGTGGAGAGGATGTTTGGGAAGGGCTTTTAAAAACCTGATGTCTTGTGCAAGTAAAAGGGATTATTGTTTTCTAAAGAAACTCTCTTCCTCAGATTGGCAAATCATTAAACATCCATCAGCTATGAAAAGAGAGTGGAAATATTAGTCAGTGACTCACAGTGGAAACACTGTAGTCTGGTCCAAGATTCACTCAGGGCAACATAAAGAGGGCTTCTCAGGGGAAAATGCTGCATGCCATCCTCCTTGCCTACAAGTGCTGAAGGTCAAGTGCTTTGCCATCAAATGCAACACTCATCTAGTTTGAAACAGTGAGGTCTGCTCACCACAGGGGTGGATTAATTTTTTTTTACAGTGTAAACAGAGATTTACACAGAGTAGGGACGCATTTAACTGTTCACCTCGGGTTGTGGGTTTCTTGTGGGCAGGATTACTTTCATCCAACTCTGCTCTGTAATGTCAGGTGTTTACCAAATGTTTGCTCAATTTGACTGAAATAGACTGAATGCTTCCAGCTTGATTTTATTGCTGAAGGAATTCTAATTTCTGGAAGGAACCAGGACTATCTTATACTGTTCTCTGCTCTTTTATGCCCCTGACTTTGCTCATGGTGGTCTCCCTGCCTAGAATAACCATTTCTCACTTCTTTCTTCCCTTAACAACCCGATTCAAATGCCCCTTCCTATAGGAAGCCTTCCCAGATTCTCTCATGTGCTCCCACAACACTCTGGACCTGCTTTGTGATGGACTGTGCTGTGTCATCGCTTGCACACATACCTGTCCTTTCTGTTGATTTGATGCTTCCCGATGACTGGTGCTTCTCCCTATCTGACTTTGGTTGTGGCTGCAGCACCTGGTGCAGCCATGGCCATGATGAATGGTTGTTGAATGAGTGAACGAGCCTTACTTCCAACATGACCACCTGTGCAGACGTAGGCTGCAGAAAGGCCGTTCCTGGCTGCTTTCGCCATCTCGGTCTGTGTGGCAAGCCTGAAGGATGCTCCATGGCTTGTTGTGTATTATTTAGGGTCAACCACTGAGGCAAAGTGAAGGAGAACAGAAGCACATATTTTGCTTTAAAATGCTCATTTTTTTTTTCAAGTGGGCACTTTAGGATAACTGAAATCTGGTGTTGAATGGCCTTCATGTAACATTTGCTGAAAACATCGGATGGAATATTTTAAACTTGAAATATCTTTCTCTTGCTTCAATTTCTTTCCTTGATTTCAGCTCCAGTATAGTAAAAAAGCACAAGCATTGAATTAAGATAGCCTAGATTTAATCTCAGTTCTCAGGGTACCTGGAACTAGGGCACTTGATTGTCTTGTGCCTCAGTTTCCTCATTCGTAAAGTGTGGATGTGAATACCCATCTCACAGGGATGTCGAGTGCTTGGAGTAAATTAATACTGTGCCATAAAAGTAGTTCATAAACTGTAAAATATTAATACCCTAAGTAAATTCATTCTTTTCCTTAATTTTTGTCCTAGAAAATGAGCAAAATCCTTGTCTAATTTCACAGCATCACATGGGCTTCAAATGCTAGCTCCTTCACTCATTAGCTCTGTGTGACCTTCAGTAAATCATTTTGCTCCCCCAGCCATCTGCCTTACCTGCGTAGCATTGCAATGATAGCCACCTTTCAAGATAGGTAGGGAAATGCACAGAAAGAAAAATGCCATGCCAGAAACTCAATACGTAATATCTGTAATTTGCAAATGATTGATGTAATTGTCAATAATAGAGGGTTCTAGAATTTTTTGAAATGCCCCAAATGAGTCTCCTCCCTCTATTTCACCTACATTTCTACAAGAGAGGAAGAACTAAGAAGATGGCCATGGTCCCAACCACCCAGAACCTCTTTTGGTTAGACATGAGAGACACCAAGAGGGAGCAGAATGACCTAAAGATTTAGATTCAGGGACCGAGTCCTCACTCCAGATCTGACACTAACTATTTGCAGGACTATTGATCTGGTCACCTTACCTTTTTTGTCTCAGTGTTTCCGTCTGTAGAAAACCTGGGTGATGTCAATGGCCTTCTCTAGCTTTATTTCAGTGCTCGTATATACTAATCCGTGTTTCCTCTTGCCAAGTTTACATCTGTAGCCCTCAGACCATTTTGTGGTTGTTGTTATTGTTGGGACTCACAGCTTATCCAAAACTCTACATTTCAATGCATTATATACCCATAGCCCTACCACCAAATTTTTCCTCTTTTTGCATTTTCCTTAGTTTAGAAAGTTAAGACTGGGTGTGGTGGCTCATGCTTGTAATCCCAGCACTTTGGAAGTCTGAGGCAGATGGATCACAAGGTCAGGAGTTCAAGACCAGCCTGTCCAATATGATGAAACCCCATCTCTACTAAAAAATACAAAAATTAGCCAAGCGTGGTGGCACACATCTGTAATCCCAGCTACTTAGGAGGCTGAGGCAGGAGAATTGCTTGAACCCAGGAGGCAGAGGTTGCAGTGAGCCAAGATTCGCACTACTGCACTACAGCCTGGGCAACAGAGTGAGACTCCAACTCAAAAAAAAGGAAAGAAAGAAAAAGGAAAAGAAAGAAAGTTAAAGTGCCTAAGATGACCC